TTGAGCTTTTATGTGTTTCATGATACAACAATAATTTATACTGACTCAATGCAGTTTTTAAATGTATGGTGTAATTAGATCGTTGGATGATCCTTGAAAGATATTTTGGATCAACTCTACCTATATTTCTATTACCTAACTTTAAAACTAAATACTTTCTATCAGACAACAGTACCTACCTAACAATTTCAATTTATACATCTATATCAGTCAAAGTTTATTTTAAAACTAACTTTCATAACAAATGTATTTATATAATTTTTATCTATAGTTTATCATGTTTGTTTAATGTACTCTTTACAAACCACCACAATTAAAGTTATAGTAATTTAAAAATGTTTTTTTTTACTCTTCATAGTCAGAAATCTAGTCAAAATTGCAGTTTATGCGAAAATAGCACTTAAATAATACCACTGTAAACAATGTTATTGTTCCCAACGGTATATGTAAAAACACCCTTAAGATATTTTCAAATGCTTCTCATACATATTATTATAATTATAAAAGTAAGTTAACCGTATTTTTTATAATGTCTTTGAAACAGAAGTTTTTAAAACAAGTTTTGTATAAGTATCATACGTATCAGATAACCAAAATAAACACATTTTTATTCATAACATAAAACTATATTGATAAAAAAAAATACAAAATTCAGACTATATAGCATTATAATTATATTTTTATCGAAACTAAAAATATGTCAAAACGTTGTATAATAATGTTAACGAAATTGACGACTATCAAATTTCTTATCATGGATTGAAATTAAAATTTTTCAATTATATTACATTTTCATTTTCCTGGTGTAATTATATCTAATAAAAGGAATTACCAGTTGAATAAAACTTTATACAAGAAGAATAATACTTAAGTTTCATCATTTTGTAAAAAAAAAGCAATTGAAATCGAATTAGTTTTATATTACATAATAATATAATACTACAGAAATAATTTGATCTACAAGAGAGAATTCGACATGTATACACAATCTATAAAATCAAAATTATAACTCATAATTCGTATAACGTGGGTATATAACGTATTCCAAAAAACGCCACAAATAATTATTATACATAAACAAAATATTAATAACATTATGGACGACTTACGTTTGCGAAATTCACYCGAAATCTATTAATTCAACTCAGTTTCAAACCGAAGAAAAAGAACCAAGATAATACACACTCACTAACACCTAGCCATGCACGCACACACACACATGCACATACGATCGCGATTTAATTTAATTTCGATTTTCCGTTCGTCACTAGCTCGTCTTACGGTATAATACCTACTGGCTCAGTAGCAGCAGTAGCTATCCTGTTTAGCGAGAATCGCGGAGGAAAAAAATTGCGTATTACCGACCGAATGAATTTCTATATTAATCGGTACGAAATAAACTCGTCGTATCATGTGCGTGGATAAAATTATAAGGCCTTCGAGCCGTGTCACAGAGTACGTGTGTCGCTCGGCGCGTTGCTTGGCATACTGCCGATGACGCCGACGGCCGCCCCCGCCCCCGCTCTCACCCCCTTTTGCTCATCCGGCGGCTGATAAGGAGCACAATTCGTATACATATATATATATATGTAGTAGTCATCGCCGCCGCCGCTCAGAGCGTCTACCACCGTCATACAAGCCTAACGTCTCGTTTCCGTCGTCTTATTCACGGAGTTGACACTTCAGGAAAAAAAAAGTCTCGTTGAGAGTTTGACGACAAGATATGACCCCTGACGGAGTAAACGACGCGCGACGACTTGGTCCTCATGGTTAAAATCGTAAATTATTATCATTATTATTGTCCATCGTCATATTATGCATACCAGGTAATTGTTATCATAATCACTTATACGGTATAATAC